TTTTTTTTTTTGAAACAACACGATTGTCTCTCTGATGTCCAGGTGGGGGCGACACTGCCACCTGCTGTGCCAAGTGGAACACTGAGGACAAGGTCAGCCACGTCAGCACAGGAGGCGGAGCCAGCCTGGAACTGCTGGAAGGTGAGTGAAGGACATAAACCATCATGTAAATCAGATCCGAGTATTTATTCATTTATGTATGTATGTGTTTGTTTGCCCTCCCAATGCAATTGATCAATTCTCGTGCGGGTATGTTTTTCCCCAGGCAAAGTGCTTCCCGGAGTGGACGCCCTGAGCAACGTCTAAACTTCCTTCCCATCGACCCGCTGACGTGTGTGAGCGCACGCGTGCGTGTTTGTGAGACAGAGAGAGCATGTGAATGTGTGTATGCTGAGAGGTGAGTAGCAACTAAAACCAGACTGGTGTTAACTTGTGCAAAAAAAAAAAAAAAGAGGAAAAAACAACCCAAAAAAAAAAAGATGCACACAGCCAGCGGGCTTTATCGCACATCAAAACTGTGACGAGTCGAACTTGTGCCTTATTGGGACACGACTCGGCAACTACTAGAGTAGATGGATTATTAAGGTGGAGGGTATTTTTATTTTTTTTTTTGCTGTGATGAAAACTTGACATCACTCCAGACTTCAGAAAGTGCGTGTTACTCTCCTCCAGTCATTCCCTGCTAACTTGTGTGTATTCACGGCATCACTACTGATACACAAGGAACGGTTCATGTGGCGTTTGTGTACCTTCTGACCTCGGGTCGGTTCTGGTCGCCAGTTCAAGTTAATAAATGTCCCTAAAACCATTGCGCTACTCTTGTGTTCCTTTGCAGCTTGCGCAATGGCATAGTTTTCTTTTTTTTCTGGGGGAAGGGGGGGGGGACTATCCTGTTATTGGCAAATTAAAATTCTGATAAACTATTCCACACCCAATTAAAAAAAAAAAAGACGAATGAAATTTACATGGGAGAAAAATCTGTTTTTTTTGGTGTGGGGTTAATATTATCTTAGTCTTCTGTGGTAAAGAGTTAATGTGAAGGGGGGGAAATCAGTCAAACATTTTTGTGCAGATTTTTAAAAAGGTTCATATCAGATGATTGACACCAGTCAGGCCCTGCTCATAACGCAAAACCTGCACATCGCTAATCAACATTGCCCAATGAAATGAATTCAAATGCTCTGATCTCATTCAGTGCCATGGACATTTTTTTTCATTTTTTTTTAGGAATCCAGGCAATCAGTACCAGGTACGTCTTTATGTATTTAAAACAAAATAATAAAATCACGTGGTAGGTTTGAAAATGGCTGGCACCGAATGACTTAATTTGTTTCAGTCTGCCCGAAAAAAACGAAACAAACTTTCATATTTTTATTTGGTGTGCTAGGATACTGTAACTTATCAAAAAAAACAAACCATACAGTCATGACAATTAATTAAATAGAATGTAAAGACTCAATTGATGAACAAAGCTGCATGATGTATCGTCAATAAATAATTTTCAGACCAACAAAGTGAAATTTGATCCTTTGCGGTGGCACGGGTGATGACCTCTCACGATAGACACCTGGTGGCAACCTCGACTCGAGAGAAAAGGGAGCCTTGTTCGTTCACGTACAACAAATCTACTCCAAAAGAAACGGGGCACTTGAAAATCAATGCACGCCCGCGCCACATCAGCCATTCTCTGCTTACCGTTCTCCGGCCGGTGGGCCTTTTGCGCCAGGAACTCCGAATTTTCATAGTCGTCGGCGTCTGTGTGGTGAGGCGACACGCCGCGTTTGTTAAGCGCGAGACCTGGCTTGCCTCAAAACGAAAGCGACGTCTCCTACCGTCGTCTGTCGGCGCCGCGTCAGCCAAGTTTGCGTAGTGAGCCTCGGTGGGATCGGCATCTGAAGACGAGATCGTCTTAGCCGACGCCGGCACGCACAAGGGGATCATCAAATTGATTTCTGTCGTTTTTGATCACCCACCTCTGATCCTCGAAGCCATCTGCTCGTTTTCATACACTGTGGTGGGGAGCGGATCACTGCAAAGACAAAACATTTGGACCCATGAAAGTATTCACTCCTTTTTAAATGTATACAGATGCTTATGTTCACATTTAATTTTTTTTTTCATGAACAGATGGCCCTATTTGAGGAGGAATGGTCAATTATGTTGATGAGAAATCAATACTTACAGATAAATATGTTCCCAAATCCTGGGTGGTGACGCCGCTATCGCGTATAGAGCTGCGAGCGTAAAGATGTATCATTTGATACATTGGTGCCCGTGGACATCTTGCAAAAGCGTAGCTCTCGTACATTGAATAGTCAGAAATGGTACAAAACTGACCTGGACATGCGCCCTCACTAGAAAATACAAACGACAACTGTTAAGGTAGGGCTCGCAGTTTGACATTTTGCTTGCGATTGAATGGAGAGAGAAAAAAAAAAGGCATACTTTGAGGAAGGGGTCATTTGATTGGCTTTCATGACTGAGGAATAAAACAACAAAAAATGTTAGAATATGCCCAAAATAAATGAAATGTGTCAATTCATACAACAACTGTTAGGCATCTTCTACATGTTAGCTGCAGGAGGATTTACCCGTTTTGGATCGCGTTACAGCAAATCTGCTTCCCTCACGCCGGCTGTCAAAAATGTCACACCCCCCCCCAAAAAAAATGTCATAATCCAAATGCGACATATGATTTTAGAATGATTGTCACAAAAGCTGATACTCACAATGTGTGCGGGTTGTATATTTGAGCTTCTTCGTGGATGGTTTCTGTGGAAAAATAAATCCATTAAAACTGCCCAAAAAAAAAAGACAAACTTTTTTTTTTTTAAAGGAAAATGTGCCCAACTCTAATTCATTTCAAGCCAGTAGCCCATCAGAAGAAAAAGAGAAATACAATTTGAAATTAAATATGAAAATGACAATTAGTATTTTGAAATTAATTAAGAAGGATGCACAATCATCAGCAGTTCAAATTTCAAGTAAAAGCAGCCTAACAATCTCAATGTTGTCCCGTTTCAAAAATGGATTTGAGCGCAGTTGATTTTTAGTTCTCGTTCTCGTATTTCGCCGAGACCGATCTGGAAAACCGGGGGGCCCGGCAATGATCCTTGTGGCACGACACTGATCGTAAATGCTGTTCAAAGATGTGGAATTGTCATTCGTTGAAGACTATATTGGTCAAACCGGTTTGACGCACTGATTATGGAATTGAAATGAATGTACTTGCAATCCCGATTCCACCAAAACAAAATCCAGTTCGGGGGAACTTACTCGGCTTCCTCTTGCATCTCAGACACAGAAGGCCCAGCAAACTGAGCGAGGCCAGCGACGCAGTCGTCGCAATTGCACACTGCACGATGGAATTTCCCAGCATATCTGAAAGCAGCACTTATTCAAATTTAGAACACATCAAAAACGGCATCTGCAGTTGGGTTGTCTCTGTTGGGTTTTTTTTTTTTTTCCATTTTTTTTCTCCTGCGAAAGTCACACATCTGCAGCTCCAGGAAGTGGTTGGTCAAAGCGAGGAGAGTTTGCGGTCACGCGTCTTAAAGCAAAAGCGCATTCTCATTCTGGATTATTAATTGAACAATTTCTGTTGCGTTTGAGAGTGATGTGAAATTGCACTTGCGTAATTTGTTAAATATCATTGAAGCTGTTGATTTTGTGACTGCCTCGTTTGTGTAATAGGCAATAAATCAATCCACTTAATATAGTACATGACAAAAGACAACAAAACTGGCTAAAATAAAAACCAGAGTATCGCCATAATTAAAAGATGATGTGGGTTTTTTTCTCTTTTTCAAACAATGATATTCATTTAAAATTCATGATAAAAACAAAAGCGTTTGTTGACAATTCTCACAAATGAGTTTGGTAACGTTCATCAGGTCAAACCTCTCCGACAATGTCAGTTTTGTTCATTTGAAGACATTTAGGTGGGAATATCCTAATTAGGAGTACAGTATATGAAAAAGCAAGGAGCCTGGCAGATCCCTGAGGTGCGCCATGTATCATGGAAGGTGATCATATTAGGATCCGATGCTGGCTTTTGAACATTCATTGGCGTTTCTTGAGAACAATTAAGAATTCAAATATTTTTCCAACAGCCCAACCATGCCCAATTTTGTTCGTACAATATTCCGTTTCTCTGTAAAGCAAAAAGATCCTTCCATTTGTTTCCATTTGATTTATAATTTGTACTGCTGTAACAGGAAATGAAGTGAAGCACAATCGTGCTTTTTAATCTCCGTAAAGTATTTTTGTGTCTTCTTGTTTTCATCGCATTATGTTTTTGCTTCAAAGGTTAAAAGCCAAAGACACGTCCACACGGCGATACAATCCAAGGCACAAAGCGATCTAAAATCCTTCCTCAGCTCAACATAATCCAAATGATGACAACAGCATTGGCAAGGCGTCGCCGCCGCGTTACCTTGCGAGGTCCGGCGGCTCTCCTTCCTGCGTCGGCTGGAGTCGACATGAGCGGTGAAGCATGCGCTTTGGCTTCCTTTTTACAACAATTCGCCACATCCGTCACACCCTCAAGACACACGAGAGACCTCAAAGCGACCTAAAAAGTGTTTGCGATTTCAGGTGGACACACAAGACATGTCAAATCATGATTGAAAGTCAAAATGTCAACACACCAATTTGTCGTTATCAGCACACTACCCATGAATTCAACTTGACTGAAACGTGACTGATTTGATATTTGGTTACATTTTTTCCCTCCAAAATAATTTGCGCCCATTTGTGGTAAGTTCAGTTCATAGATGATTTGGAGATGGACACACTTTTCTGTGTAAGGCCCCACATTTGGCAAAATAGCAGAACAAGTGAAGAGCCGTGAATATTGTGTGTCAGGTTTATACCGTGACCCGTTTTGGAGATGCCGACTCTCATTTTTTGGCAAGCCCTCCTTGAAAATAACCCTCAGTTGAATTCGTATTGAAACAGCAGTGCAATTGTACATCACTGGAAACAAACCTGCCTGTCAATCAAAAATAGTTGTACGCCGAATTTCTGGATACGACTTGAAATTGAGGTCATGCCATCCTCTACTACTAGCGAGTATATTTTGGCAAGGTACCTAGATTTTCACTTGAGTACGTTGACATTTTTTTCCAGAAGTTGTAACAGTAAAAAGCCATTCTTAAATTGCTGGGGTAGTTTAAATTAATTGTTATACATTTATTCTGGAAATGTCTGAGCTGTAACTCAAATGCTCTTTCGACACGATAATTTACAGGCTAGTTAGCCCATTTTTAAAATTTCTTCTTCTCTTTTTTTTTTTTTTTTACATTCAGACAAACATTTTAATTCGCTTAATAATGGTTGATCTGTCTATCGTTGAGAAAAATGCCAAGTTGTTTCATATTTTGTAGTTGTTTTACATCTTGGCAAAAGTGCTCAAGTTCTCATGTCGTTTAGTGAAGTCATTTTATTTGTCTCATGTGTCGTTTTATGTAACGTGTGCGCGCGGGCGTGTGTGTCATTTATATAGCTATTGTTTCCTTGGTAGTTGAATCAGCATTTCAATAAAAGCGATTGTCGCGACGCTTGTTTTGGTAAAGTGTGAAAATAAGGCAGTACTGTGCTGTATTTAAAAAAAACGGATTAGGTGGTCGTACCCGCGACGTGACGTCATGACGTGACACAACAGTGTCGTTTTCGAGTTAGCTACAATTTTTCCCAAAAGACTTTCGCATATTGTTGGGAGTTGGAGTAAAAATACAGACACCACGACCCAGTGTGGTACTTTAAACGCATTCAAAAAATAATAATTCCAGGAATCTCTGCGTCGACTCTACCACGCTCTCGACGTCATGACGTAGGCTCTTTGCCGACGTCGTAGTAGGTAGGAGCGAAAACAGTTCGAAGGATACACGCCCCCCTGTCAAGCTAGCGGCGCCTTAACATATCTTGAAACAAACGGGACCCGTTTGTGGAAAGATACCGATTGGGCACCGTATGAAGGAGCGGAGTGTTAGTGAAGCCTCTTGGCTGACTTGTCATCAGTCGCCGTTTTGTTGATGCTCGGCAGCGGTTTTCCGCGCGCATGCAACAGAATGGCGCGAGCACCTCCAACGGCTCGGGCGTCGGCGGCGGAGAGCGAGAGTCTCCGTCCCGAAGCCCCCTGCTACCAGCGGCGACGACTCGGGTGAGACGGTTCATCCAGGAGCGGCGCACCTTGCCGCTGCCCAAAGTCATGGTGGTCTTCTCGGCCGTGGGTGACGCCGAGAAAGCCAGCGATGCCATGGCCGACGATGACTCGCGGAAGCCAGCCTCCCCGGCCGTGGCGGCGACGGCAGCGGCGAACGTCTGCCGGGGCAAGCCGTCACGCTACCCGCTGGACGCCAGACAGGAGCAGGAGGTAGGCCGATGTCCGACGTTTACCCAAAACAGTTTGTTTTTATTTAATTGCAAGCAGTCCTTGAATAGTGCTAGCATATGACGTCATAACCAAGCGCCAAAATTGGATTGTTTGGCAAGGAACGTGTGGGTGGACCGCTGCGTTGCGATTGGCCAAGGCTGGGTCACGTGGCGAGCTATTCACTTCATCCTGAATCCAGACCTAAACACGGCAGAATAATCCCCCTGTCAGGTTTAATTTAATATGACCGCAAGGGCCTTGCTCCTAACATTCACACTTAACAAGGTTAATCGACATAAAAATAGGTTCGAATTGCCTATATTCCTCATTTAAACCATAAACGTACTGCACACTACAAACCCAGACGAGTTTAATATTGGACAAATGGGCCTTTGCTGACTTGGAATGTAAGTGATGGAAAACGTTTAGATTATGCACGACTGTCCGTAGTCGGTATGTGCGCGCAACACTTTGCACACCGCAGGATAATCGCCCAGGCTCATGTTTTAGAGACACCCAAAAACCAGTTCTTTGTTGACACAGATCAGAAAAGATGATCTGTATTTACAAACTGTTGCAGTCCCCTTTGAAGGCTGTACTTGCACAAGTTACTGCTAAGATCCTGTTAATCGCTTGAATACATTTAGTAGGGATGTCAGTTTGTTGTGCATGTTGCGTAATGAATAATAATACATTTTATATATGTATTTTTAAACCCTTTTTTGTCCCCCTTGTAAAGTTTCCCGAGGTGATCTCTCTGAACGTGGGGGGCTCCCACTTCACCACCCGTCTGTCCACGCTGCGCCGCTACGACGACACCATGCTGGCCGCCATGTTCAGCGGGCGCCACCAGATCCCGCGCGACGCCGACGGACGCTTCTTCATCGACCGCGACGGCGCCTACTTTGGGTGAGTTGCGCTGATGCGATTGTGCGCGTCACATTTCAACGCTTCACGTTGTCGTGAAGGGACATCCTGAACTTCCTGCGTGAGGGCGAGCTGCCCCAGCGCGAGCGCGTCAGGGCGGTGCACCGCGAGGCGCAGTACTACTCCATCGCACCCCTGCTGGAGCGCCTGGAGGACACGCAGCCGCTCACCGGAGAGAAAGTGCGACAGGCCTTTCTCGACCTGCTGCCCTACTACAAAGGTAAGCAGGGGCGGGCTCTTTGACATGACTACTTTTGTCTCCGTTTAACCCCCCCGCAACAACCCAAAGCAATTGAGTTGAAGGAGCGTTGTGTGCCGGCAGACAATCTGGAGCGCATCGTGGAGATCGCCAAGCTGCGCGCCACGCAGAAGAAGGCGCGCTTCGCCAAGCTGAAGGTGTGCGTCTACAAGGAGGAGATGCCCATCACGCCGTACGAGCGTCCGCTCTTCAACTCGCTGCGTTCGGAGCGCGCCGAGGGCGAGGCCAAGCTCTTTGAGCACCACTGCGACGTGGACGTTTCCTTCGGGCCCTGGGAGGCGGTGGCCGACGTCTACGACCTGCTGCACTGCATCGTGGGCGACCTGGCGCGCCGCGGCATCGCCGCCGAGCAGCAGTGCATCGGCGTGTGCGACAAGCACCTCATCAACCACTACTACTGCAAGAGGCCCATCTACGAGTTCAAGATCACCTGGTGGTGAAAGGCGGGCCCAACCTCCCCGTTTCCGGGCCCCTTTTGGGAGCCCTCGCGTCTTTTCCGCTCACGGCCGCTAACGTTTTACCGCGTGCCGATGGGACTCGAAAGAGTCCCTACTTTAACATGGCTGAAAGCCGCAAAAGTCACGGTACACACACGACCAGAGCATTTTTGCTCCCTTGCCATCCAAGCCGTACTCAGCGTTGGCCCCGCGGTCGAGGGGGACGAGCGTGGGCTTGTTTGCATGAGAGCGCGCCACCCGCTCAAAAGGGGCCCATTTCTGTGAGATTGACAAAACCAAGATGCTGTAATTCCATTTGGATGTATAATTTGTGGCGGGGGGGGGGGATTATTATTATTCCTTCCTGTATAAAGACAACATTAGCTTTGAGCCTGAGGGGAATTTTGATTTTCTTGAATCATTTTTCAGTTTGAGTCTCAGCGTCGTCCCCCAGGAAGGTCCCTACTCGTCCGTTCCGCAATCCCCCCCGTCCCGTGACACGGACGGGCATGTGACGACATTGTTTTCTTCATTCATTGTAGCATTACACACGCCTTCCCCCCGGGGAGTGTGAATGTGCTGAACTCCTGTTTCTGCGCCGTTTCCCGCTTGGATATATCAACACGGCAGTGTGCCCCGCTTTCGACGGCAAACTCGCCTTGATCCATTGCAGACTCGATGAATCAACGATGGATTTCACGTTGTTGGGATTGCTGTGCCCATCCCTGCTATTGCGATTTCCGTCGATGATCTTATTTCAAGCATTCCGCTCGCCATTCCACTCCCACCCCGACCCCCCAAAGTATATCTTTTGTACCTCACTGCTAGACAGTATAGAAAGTCCCACTTTTGTTTTGGTTGTCTTCATAGCACGACGTCGTGTTGTTTCTATAATGGATCATCAGAAAAAAAATCTGTTGGCTTCTAGGAAGCTGTCGTTTTTTTTTTCTTTGCTTTGTATTTATTGTACTATTTTATGACAGACACCAATTGAAGTAAATATATATGTATAATATATATATAAGAATCCCTTGTTGTGCTTAAAATGGCCGTGTTTTTATTTGCACACAGCAAATCAAAAATTTCTTTTGAAATGAATGGAAATTCCATTAATCCGTTTCAGACACACACAAAAAAAAAAACCAACCAAAAATGTTCACTTTTTACCAGTAAAATAGTACCTACTTACTTTTTTTTTTTTTGCTCACTCGCGTTCTTGAACAAACTGCTGCATAACAGGTGAATTTGGACCAATTCAATTTTTTCTTGTAATATACTATTTTTTTTTTTTACAGATTAACACGTTACAACATAAGAAAAAAAGAAAAAAAATCCACAATTTTTTTTATCAATTTCTCTCCGTTGTAAATTTAAACAAATACAATAAGACAAAGTATTGTAAAGCAGTCCAATGTTTGGTTTCTAATTTTTATCGTTATAAGCATGAAGGGACATGAAGACAAAAAAAAAACGTCTTTTATTCATGGTATATTTTCTAATTCATCCGCCTATTATTCACTTGTTGTTATAAGCATGAAAGGACACAGAAAAAACGTCTTTTATTCATGATATATTTTCTAATTCATCCGCCTATTATTCACTTGTGGGAATTTTATCCTTCAAGTATCAGAATCGGCATTTGTCTGGAAAAAATAAAATAAAATAATTCGGACCTAGACCGAATACAAATGGAGACCAATCTTTTCAGATTCACGTTGCTTCAAATTTTGAAAATGGTTTTTAAATTTCCTTTCATTTCCCTTTTTTTTAATTATTATTTTTTTCTTTTGCCACAAGCAACTTTTTGACTGTACGGTCACAAACAGGTGGCAAAAGTAGAACGGGTAGGCCTGCTTTTTTTTAAAGCGCCGCGCACATCTCTCACTTTCCTCGCATTTACCTTTGCCCGCTATTCTTTGCCTTTCCCTCTCCCCTGACATTCAGAGTGTCTGTCGCCCACCCGGGAGGAGGGCCATGGTCGCCGGTCCTGCCGGTGCTGCT